AGTATTATTTAGACTATTAAAATAAATACTTATCTTCTAAAGAAGATTAATACTAATAATTTATACTATATTATAAGGTTTATAGAGAGTACTATATAGTTAAAAAGTAATCTTTTTATTATTTAGTTTAATAGTAATTACTTTAGCTATACTAATAGCTTAATTAATTTAGTCCTTTCTACCTATATAGTTTATAATTAATCCTTAAAGGAGATTTTAAAATTCCTTAAAAATAGAGAGATTATTAAAAATATACCTATTAGTATTAGTATTTAGTATAAAGGAGTTTATTCTCTTAATAGAAGTTATAGATATAATATATTAGTATAGTTATACTTCTTAGCTATTATTTTCTTCTTTATTAGCTTCCTTAATAGTACTATATATAAAGAAACTATTAATCTCTATTTCTATAATTTAGCTAGTAGAACTATAAATAGAGTATTTAAGTATCTTTATTAATTACTTCTTAACTCCCTATATATAAGTAATTTTATATAAATCTTTAGTTAGAGGTTAAAAGTTAAAATATAGACTAAATACTTTAAAATCTTCTACTAAGAATAGTAAAAAGGTCCTCTTTTAAGCTTAAGTTAATAAGATATCTATAAAAGCCTTAAATTATTAGTTAATATCCTATTTAATACTAAAGTTTCTAAAAACACTATTTTAGGTTTAGTTTTCTAAAATAAATACTAAAGTAAATACCTATATTATTAATTACTAAGTTATTAGTAGTTTATTTAAGTATTTAAACTTATTATATACTAAGGTGTAATATCTAAAATATCTAAAGGAATACTTACTATACTTCTTAAGGTATTAAGTTATCTTTCTATAATAAGAGCTATATATTTTATACTTATAGAGGTTCTTAAGATATTTAATATTATAAGAGGTATAAAAATCTTATAGTTTACTAGGTTTAGTTACTTAAAGTTATTTCTTAGAGGGAAACCTCTTCTTATTTAAAAGGGTACTAATTCCCTAAGAGGTTTACTTATATTATTCCTTTTTACTAAAGCTTCTAAGTTCTTATAAGAGGTTATTATAAGTTTAAATTTCTATAATAAAGTTATTCTCTATAATATCTATTTTTACTTAATTAAAATATCTAAAACCTTAGATAAGTCTATAGATAAAAGTTATAATTAATAAGCTTATATTAGAACTATTTAGTTTATTAAAAGTTAAATAAAAATCTTAGATAAAATCCTTAGTATTTCTATAGTTAACTCTAGTTATTTTATTCTAATTATTATAAACTTTATTTATAACTAGTTTATTAAACTTCTAAGTATATTTTTTAGTTTTAATAAAAATATAAAAAGCTAAAGTTATAATAAAAAAACTATTATTAATTATTTCTTCTAAGAGATTATATTAGATCTTCTCTATAAATAACTATCTAATAAGTATAAAACCTATAAGTATTAAATTACTTAAAGATCTTAGATCTTTAATTACTACTACTTTATTTTCTTTAAAAACTATATCTTTATTATATCTATTTAGTATTCCTTTATTTACTAAGTAGAAGAGAAATCTTATTATTTTAAAAGTATTCTTAAGATTAATCTCCTATAGCTAAAAGCTTATAGTTTTAGTTAATTTAAAAATAGTATTATATATTAAAATTCCTAGATCTAATCCTTTATTAACTACTTTCTATATAGCTACTTTAGTTATAAAGTTAATAGAAAAAGAGGAAAAACTAGAAAGGCCTAATTAAGATAATCCCCTCTTAGTAGAACTTAAAGAAAATAGAGTTAAATTAGTAATTAAAGATATATTAATTTATTTAATTAATTTAGTAATTTAAGAGAAGTTTAAAAAGTAGTTATAAGTAATTATTAAATAGTTATTAAGTAATTATTACTATATAACTATAATAATTATTAAATAATTATTAACTTTAGTAATCTAAAAGTTAAGGAGATTTTATAAATAAGGGATATATATTATAATAACTATAACTTCTACTTAGAAGTATTACTTCTAGTAACTTAGTAATCTATTAATTACTTTATAATAATTACTAAACTATAAAGTTATAGTTTTAATAATTACTTAGGAATAACTTTACTATTTAGTAAATAGATTTAGGTATTTTAAGAACTTATAACTTATATAAAGTAGCTTAATTAATCTAGCTATAAGTACTAAGTACACTTAGCTATAAAGTAGTATAGCTAATCCCTTATATAAAGGTGGGATTTAGGCTAGGGTTCAGGCCTCAGGCCTAGGCCCAGCTGACTACCATCTCGCACAGGTAAACCGTCGGCGCGTCGACCCACTAATCTCACTTCAAAACGCGTCCACTCACAGGAAAGCCCCACTCAGTGAGAAATCCCACTCACTAAAACCTTCACTTAATAACTCGCTCATTTCACCTGCTTTAAAAAGCTCCTACTCACTGAAGACTCCAAAAGCCCTATAGTGCACCCCACAAAACCAGACGCTAGCATCATTCTGTCTCATCGCATTACACCAAGGCCACCAAGAAATCCAATGCGAGCTCTGCATTTAGCGCAGTTTGCTGCTAGAAGTGATCTCTCGTCCCTATTATAGCCACTGAACTTATCAGGGGTTTAAGAGGGTACCATTCCAAAACTATATAGTGCACATTATTAACCCACAGGGATATAAAGCTGATTGCTCTTATTCAGATTTCAGTAACAACCCAAGCCCATTATAATTCAGATTGAGATCAACTTCACAAAAGCCTCAAAAAAGCAAAAGCAGCAGTAAACCCACTTAGAAATAGGATCAACTGCCTGCCCAGCGCTAGCGTTCAGCAAGATTTGTTCCACAGCTCATACAACGCACGTACGCCACTCTCAAAAGTGGATGAACAAGGCAAAAACATACATACAACACCAGGCATTCGCCAGTCGTCACCAACCCAACTACTACTCCAGCCCTCACTAGAATCATCTAGATAGAGCAGAGGCAGCCTTTTTCGTGATAGCTTCGCCAACCTAAAACGGTAGGCACCGCTCCCCGAAACAGACTAAGCGGAACATAATATAACTAATCAAGATTCCATCTTATACAGTTAAATTACCATTAGTTCAGTCTTTAACGTTTCAGGGCTTATACAGACACCATAGTATTTCTATAACACTTTCATTTCAGGGGGCAGCCGTTATTAAGAAGCCAGGCATCAACTACGTTTTTGCCCAAGCGTTTCTATAGCTAGATCGCAGGGTGAAGTTATATTATATATTTTTAGGGACTTAGCCGGAGTGAACGAGCAGGAGCTGTAATCATGCTCACCTGTGCCACATCCATACCCATGTAAGTGCCGAGTTCCTCAGTGGTTGTCTACCAGTTGTGTTGAAGCAATCAGTCGGACAGGTGTTGAAGTTCTGGGGGACTTCCTCAGTGTCTGTGTGCTCCTCCTCAGCTTCCGGATTACCAAGGACCCCTCCTACCTTATGCAGGTCAGTTGACAATGTTTCAAGTCGACGTGCCGAGAGGAGCCCCCTCCCCCTTCCCCCAGACGCAGAGACGCGCTCCAGATACGCGATCCTCATACCACACCCTATGCGACGCGCAACAGGCGACAGTTATAGTACGAAATCTCTACGTCCTGTTTACTCAAAGCATACGCATTTCATTCGTTCCCTTACCCTCTCTGTTTTCCGGTTTCATCAGAGCCTTCAATACCATGTATATAGCGTTTCTAGGCCCCGTGGGAGTGTATTCACCTAGCTGCCCACAGTCGAGAGGCTACTAACACCGGACGCAAGTCCATTTACAGCAAATTTGATATCATTCAAACAGGGGTGTACTATGTCCCAAACATTGCATTCATCTAAACAATAGCTGTTGTCATGCATATGCTGAGAGTGCTCGTCTGTCGCTCAGCACACGCGTTTATCTTGTCAGGCCGTGGGAGGACCTCCACATAACGTCTGGTTTACGACCTCTTGGCACTTGCCATTTCCTAAGCCAAGGTTCCCACTTCCTACTCGGTGTTAGACAGCAACGATGATAACCCAAGCGGTCATAATGAGAGCAAGTGCAAGGTTATCGATGCCGCCTGTGTAATTGAAGCATAAGACAGAAACATTGTGTATTACGATAGAGTGGTCCTTCGCCAAATCCTTATCTTTCTACTCCTGCAAAGATCCTTAGTGAGATAAAGAAGACCAGCTGCTGCCTTGAGAAAGGCTCTCAAAGGCATGAGGACAGTTTCTGCTTTAGCAGGCTGTCAGTTGACGCAGAGGTGAGCAGGAGTGAGTCTCTTGAAGGCTGCCGCGTGTCCGATCGACAACGGGTGATAGGCTCTGGTGATTTCATCCTTCCCTGGCATGAAATTTTAGGTCTTAGCGACCAGTACAGGGGATTGAACAAAGCCTATGCCCGGCGTGTACGTCTCACCAAAAGCTGGCCATGCAACTCTTTGGTCAGCTAGACTTGGAAACGGCCCATAGCTTTGAAGGCCGATGTTACATCCCTACACCCTATTACATGCATGTACGAGGTGAAGCTTGTGACTGGCATATGGCATGAGTCACTGAGCGTTATTTCGGCATGTACCATAACTACGTGCTCCTGGCATCTATCATCGCTTGTAAGTTATGTTTACCCCCCTCTGCCTCCCTCCCTCTCCCCCCTTTCTTACTCTCTCATTCTCTACCTCGCCCTATTCGCCTCCCTCTTCCCCTCTCTACTTCTAAGCTGTCCCCAGCTGGCTGATTCCAACAAGTCCGTTTCTCTCTTTCAATCATGGCTACGTCCTCCCAACCATCCGTGGAAATGCCGCCGGAACTTCGCAATGAATTTCTTTCCGGCTCAAAACTCCAATTCTCTAATGTGCTGCTTCCATAATTCTGCATAGTGGCCATTCATTTGTAGAAGGGACTTGTGAGTGCCTTAGGACTGAACATCCTTTTTCTAGCACGACAATGCTATCGGCCGACTCGGTACTTGAAAAATCATGCCTATATAGTGAGTTTAGAACGATGTCAAAATGCTTTCTGTTGAGCGACTCACTCAATCTGTATCACAGTCATGTTAAGGAATGCCTCGCGGATGGCCTTCTGAACAGAGGCCTTGGTGTCAACATCTAGGGCACTTGTTGCCTCGTCCAACACTATAATATCTGGGTTCTAAAGGAACAGGCGTGCGATCAACAATCTTTGTCTTTGGCTGCCTGATAAGTCCCTAAGGTAGAGAATTAGTAATGAGGATAGAAACCCCTTTCGAACGGGAACTTACTGTCCATCATCTCCTATTTTTGTTCTATAACCATCCGGAAGCGACTTGATAGTTTGATGAATACACGCGCGCCGGCAAGCGTTTTCAACCTCTACGTCGGTGACATCTTGGTTGGCAAAACATCGTATATTATCCATAACGCTTTGATTGAAAAGACGCGCATTCTGGGCAACGATTCCGATGTGAGACCGAAGTCTGGAGAGAAATATCAGTTTGTAGGGGCTATAGAAAGTTTGAAAGGTTTAGCTTACGATGAGATGCTGATGTCTTCGACCTTCTGGTTATCGACTCGTCTATGCCCGCTGCTGGGTTTCAGAAGTCCCAGCAGTAGTTTCAGCATTGTCGACTTGCCAGATCCTGATTTTCCGACAATTGAAACTTTCGTTCCTGCTGCGATCTGGAGATAGAGACCGTTCAACGTAGAATCCTTCTTCCCTTCATAGCGAAATTCGACATTTGTAAAATCTATTGCGCCGCCTCGAAAGTCAAAATCTGGGCCATGTTCGACCTGGACCGGCATCTCAAGGAGACGTCTTCTACGAGTAGCTCTAAGGAGCTTTTCCAAGATGCCAGTCTTAGTTTCCTTACAATTTACTAGAGACGTAGTGATGTTTTGCCAGTACCCTACAAAAGCGACAAGGTCGCCGGGGGTAGCCCTTTCGTTAAAGATGTCGTTAAGGATGAGTAGTAGCCCAAAGGTGAAGGTTGAAATCTGGACCATACTGGCTGAAAATTGACCGATGTAGAAATAGATGAGATACCTGTCCCACTGCTTGACCCATGCATCTACTTTTGAGCCGTGTTGCTTAATCGTGGCGGTCGTCTTGCTATGACTCGCAATCGTCTCCCAGCATCGAATGCTTTCACGACAATATGCTTCCATGTTTCTAAGGGAAGCATAATAGTCGTCTAGTTCTTTTGGGAGATTCTTGGCCGTACGTCTTTGGGCGATGAAGTAGCCAACCACAAGCACAAGAAGATCGAGGGCCATAAACTGCCGATGTTTTCTGATCAAAAAGGTAGCCGAAGTCGCCAGCATGATCATGCTTGGTACAACCACAAAGCAGACGTTGTCCAGTGCGTCTAACAGCCCCTTCGAATCGTTCGTGATTCGCACGATGTCTGATGTCTGGTGGATTGATTGTGTTGTGAAAAGAGAAATCGAGACTCATGGCCGTTCTATGAAATGCGCGATGGAGTTTCCCGCTGCGAAAAATCTTGACCTTCATATACAGATAGCTTCGGAGATTCGGAATGGCGCCTGGGGTGGTCGAAGCGTAAGTGATGTTTAACCCTAGGCATAGTGGAAGAACCTCAGCGCTTCGAAGTCTCGACCTCTTCACAGCTTCTGATAGCTCGGTGACAAGAAGTCCGAGGTAATAGGAGGACAAGATAGTTGATATCTTGATGGCGAAGGCAAGCAATATCGCAAAGATAACGGTGCTTTGCAACCAGGGTTCACTACCCGGCCAGAAATATTTCCAGAAGACAGAGAACTTTTGAAGCTATGGCCACTATCCTCCTAACTCCTTCATCTCCGCATGTGCATCTTGGTCGAATTTGCCGTACTTGCGGTTGGCTTCGGTGTTGGTTTCTGCGAAAGGGGCAGAATCGTCGCGTTTCTCGCCTTCTGGTATGGTCTTAAGATCTCCTGACCTTGCTCTCACCCTGGAATTATGCAAAATAAGTGCTGTGAGATCGAGGATTTTGGTGGCAGTGGCTAGAAGACTGGTCAAGGCAGTGACTAGAAGACTGGTGAAGAAAGGTTGGATAGAGTGATACTTGGTGGCTAGCAACGTTCTCTCTCTGATGATTCCTAGCTAAATATCAATGAACTAAAAGCCTAAGAAGACATCTGAGAGTATCTTTGGTCCTGTGTAGTAAAGACTCTCCAGCTGTACAGCGTACGCTAGGGTAAAGATGATTGAAGAAGAAACAGGTAAGGCATCTGAGAGCTTGGAATGTTTCGCTGCTTCTACAAAAGCGGTGACAGCCTCGAATATATGTATTCTGAGGAGAAAACCTAAGAGTGATCCTAGGCTAAGAGTGGAGGAAGTAGCTGCGTTGATGAACATATGAGGCTGTTTGAACAGGGGCGGTAACAGCGAAGAAAATGAAAGTAGGGCAGCGCATAAAGCGCACAGTATGTCGAAATGCCCGTTCATATTGCAGAAAGGGCTGATGAAGATTTGAATGGGGCAAGAGAATGAATGAGAAACAGTCATTATCATGAGCGGCAGCTGTGTAGACGTACTTTAACAGACAGCAAGGCTTTAGGTTTTGGTCTGTTCCAACATGAAGCTTCATAGTCGTTGCCCGGGAAGAGGCGTGGCATCAGGGGAGCAGTCTACAGAAGGCAAAACAAGCTATTCCTCAATTTCCACCATTCCGCCAAGCAAGCAACTCTCCGGATGTGGTAGTGGGAGATGAACGACAGTTGCCAATGGTTGGCCAAGTCGTCGACAGTGACGGTACTAGGTTGGCGTTGGCTTCAACGTGGCTGGTCCTTTCACATCCATGAACCCTTGGGCATATGCGACGGGCCTTTTGGTGGTACCCGCATGCAGGGGCCAGGTTTCCCTCCAAGGAAATGGCTCTGCAGTCATGTCTCGCAATGATTACATCTCAGCGTATTGGTGTACAACGCCAATCACCCCTCGGTGCATTTATCCACCCACCTGGCATCTGCTGTATACCAAGTTGGGTGTCCAAGGCTGGCAATGCTGTGGTATGTCTAGGAGGGGGGGGGGGGGGGGGGAAAAAAGGAAGGGTCNGGGGGGGGGGGGGGGGGGGGGGGGGGGGGGGGGGTGAACAAAGGAAGCGTCTGGTCTGGATTCACGTTGCCAACACGATGAGGTACGTAGTGTACACACGCCCTGCTCCGATTATCAGAGCGCCGTTGGCGTGCCTGGGGGACTAGGGATCAAGAATAGCTTCTTTCTGGACTCAATACAAGAGGAAGGGTGTCTTTTCCGATGATCCGCGCTATTGTCGTATTGCAGGGATATCGTGTCCAGATACATTGGTCCGGAGACCATCCATATGACAAACATCATGTCGATGGCTATCCCGCGATTGGTCGCAGGTCTCTCTTGGAAATAAATGCCATTCAAGATTAGATTGTTCTAACAATAGGTCGGATGGCGGACACCGGCAGTGCTGGAGGCGGAATCATCATCTAAACCGCGAGACCTTGTTAAAGCCGGCATCGGCTGTTGTACACGAAAAGAAAAAGGAGACAAAATGAGAACAGATGGAGTTTTATGTCAAGAGATACCATACCACCCAGGAGGCGGTCGTCGTCATCTCCACTACGAACGCGCGCGGCACACGTTCCTAACGGTTTGGATGCGCCCCAGGTCCGTCCTGATCCTGGGCGGCAGCTTTTCGAACTGCGACTTGGGCATGCCGCGGCGGGCGGCGGCGGCTTCGCGGAAGGGCTGGCGCGAGAGGCCGCCGCCGAGGAAGAAGCCCATCATGGTCATCAGGGCGTTCTTTGGATCGTCGACGAGTTCGTACAGCGTCAGGGCGGCGGTGGCGGCCTCGCCCACGACGCGGAGGGCGACGGCGATGGCGACGCGGCCCAGGCTGCTGGCCACCTGTCCGGCCGCGGGGATCATCATGAGGACCATGTTGAGCCAGAAGAGGATGTTCTGCTTGCGCTCGCGCTCAATGATCTCCTCGCCCGCCTTGGCGATCTGGCGCATGTTGTCGACGGCGTCGGTCAGGAGCATGGCCGGCAGGGCCGCGGTGGCCAGCATGTCGGTGGAGCTGGCCTCGTACAGGTTCCACTGGGCGAACCCGAGGGACACGGTGGCGCGGTCGTAGATGTTCTTGAACGTGTCGTAAGACTTGCTGACGCTGTCCTTGGGGTCGTCCATGGCCGCGCCCGGCTTCATCGTCGGGAAGTTGTGCCAGTAGACGGATGACTTCTTGAAGCACTCGGTCGAGGTGTCCGGCGACGTCCTGTCGCCTGCGACGCCTTCGCAGCCCTTTCCAAAGTACGCAAGCCGCTCCCCAATGTTGACCCAGTCCTGCGGGATGCCGTACGCGGCCATCAGGCCCTCCCAGAAGCCCTGCTCGTTCTTGAGCGTGTAGGTCGTCTCGACGGGGACCGGCAGCTGCTCGCGTAAGTTGTTTGATATGGACGCAGGGCAGTCGACGGTAGTTGTCTTCTTGGTGGTGCCGGGCTTGCAGTCGGTGGAAAAGTCGCACATGGGGTTCGTGCACGCCGCATGATTCTGGCAACCTCTGCAGCAGATGACGGTCCGAGTCTCGGTACAGGTCCAGTTGCCCGAGGCCTGGGCCCCCTCCATGAACTTGTTGATCTGGTCTGGGACTTGTTGCAAGACTGACCTTTGATAGGCCTTGAACTTGTCGTCGTACCCGTCCCTCAAGATGCTGTTATAGTCAGAAAGGGCAGTGCCGAGGGTGTTGAGCTGCGTCTGAAGGAGGTACTTGTCGAGACAGTGTTGCGGGATGCTCGACTTGGACTTTTCGACATTCTCCAGCGTGTCGTATTTGGATGGGCAAGGTGGGAGCATTGTGCCCAGGATAACCTGGTCTGCCAGGTCGTTGTCGACATTTCCGCTGTTTACAAGTTAGCACTTGGGATGTCCGGCTTCATGGTGGGACACAAATGGACAATGTGGCGCCGCTGTGAGACTCACGATCCGGAAGAAGACAGCAGCCATGCGTTAATGACGGAGGTGAACGGATGTTCGTTGGTGTTGATGTTGTCCTTGGCCGGAATGGGATCGGACCCCTCTGCGTCAATCATGTTGGCTGACCCAATGGTATAGAGGTTATAGAACCAGATCTGTCCGCTCTCTTCCACGTGGACGAGATGCTTCTGGCAGGTTTGCGTGTCGATGCAGTCCTGCGTGTAGTCGTCGAACCAGTTATACAACCCCGCGCCAAAGATATGAACGTTGGTTGACCCTGAAATCATCAATGCCCAGGCAGCTGCGCAGTGCGGCTCCGACTCTGGGCACTCGCTGAAGTCGGGATCCCCGTTGAAGAGCCCGACCTGGTCCGTGAACGGGGCAGGCGCCTTGGGCTTTGGCAGGTAGTACGGGCTTTCTGTTTGAATCTGGTTCGACATCATTGTTAGGCCTACGAGTCTCTAATGATAGAAGGAAGGGCTTGGGAGACTTGGTCCAAACGCCGGCACTTACGTTGCCCATAAACACGTCCTGTGCTTCCAAGAGGAGATACTGATAAAAAACGCAATGCTCCGACGCGGTTCCGTAGAGCCAGACAGGGCCGCCCTTGCTTTCGATCAAGATGCCACGAGCGACGTAGATATCGATCTGGGTCTGTGCCGGGCCGCTGTCAAAGTCGTGGTCCGCCACCCACGCCCACACATTCTCCAGATAGCCCGACGAGCCCCCAGTCATATGGAGCAACATGGACCCGGCAACGCATTTCGGATTGATAGTACCAGTGAGCTTGGGGCAGTCGGCAGCAGTCAGGCCGGTGCCCATCGCTCCGCCGATGCGGAAGTGCGAGTCCCACATG